ATTTCTTTCCCTTACATCGATCCCTTAGAACTAGCTGTACGATTCTTTTTAACCGTTTTATTGAACGTTGAACATTAGAGTCGAAATGACAAAAATTTAAGAAATTCTAACATTTTGTTATTTAACACCCAACGTTTAAAGTTTGACAATACAGCGAAAATGAATTGTACAGCATGTTTTAAGAGATTGTTGCAAGAGACTTCAATCTTCAAGTCGGTGATAGATTCAGTCGTAAGAAACATTTTCTTACATTTTTAATGGGACTTGAACTTTTACAACTTTCGAGAATAAAAATATCCTCGTTTCTTTCATTTGCTGTATAATATAAAAACATCTTTGAAAAAGAAACACAAAGTGCAGGCTTCACAGTTCAAAATGAGGCCAACTGGATTGTTATAAAACTTTTTTCCTGAATGTGAATTTATGAGTAAAACAAACATCTTTAAAAATCAATTTTTCGACAAGAAGATGTACCTCAAGTATAATTTTAATAATTCGCGAAAAATTTATTAAAATTCAATAATGTACATCATCATAATTTAATGACTTATATCATTAAAATTTAATATTCACAAACAGTTCTAGTAATACATTTTAATTAAAAAATTGTAAAAAATACACATACAAATGCTATCGTATACTAATTGTACCTATAATACGTAAGACATAAATGTTGAATGTAAAGTACAATGTACGATTGTAATTCAATATGTGATAAGTAAAGTAAACTTGTTTCGCACTTGATAATAAACAAACAAACATAATATATTTGATTCGTTACTTAATACGATACTTGACACGTAACTTCAAAATAATTCACGATAAAATGAAAAAGAAAAAATGAAGCAATTTTCACTTTGCGTGTTCCTTGCAGTTTCGTTAATATAATATCAAAAAACAAGAATTCCTGTTTCTCAACAAATTTCTCCATAAACAGATCGAAATAAGGGCCCATTTTGTATTCATCAGTTCATCACCAAAAATCGTCGTCGTTTCCAAAAATATCTCAATTTTATATACCCACCTCTATTAAATGATCATCAAACGTCACACGAAACTAGTACACCATCGATTAAAATTAAAGTAAAATTAATTGTATTTAATTGCTGCAACTCAAATGGAATCGATATTTCCTACTACGTAACCAGAAACAGATTTATGAAGAAAAAAAAAAAAAAAAGAAAATGGCTCTTTCTCTGTCGTCTTAAATTTTACGATATCGATTATTTTACGCAACGAAATTTAATCTTCCTCAGAGTCACGAATCTCGAAACACAGATTAAAAAAGCTTAAAAATAACTAGCCGTGATTAAGTCGTTCGAATCTCAAAGAGTCCTTCAACACCGATTATTCCACGCAAGCTTCGAAATTGACAATAAATATTGATCTCCCTCTGCGTCAATCTCATCGATTCACGAATCGAGACGCGAAGCTTGAAAAATTAATCGGACAGGAATCTCCGTGTAAAAGATCTTCGAAATTTCGCAGGTCGATGCGACTTTGGACAAGTAAACGAGTAACAATTTCAGAAACAGCTTAGAAATACACACACGCGCAAACTAACGCTATACGTAAAGGTCGTGCGAATTTCAAAAAAGCCGTAAACACCGATCATTCCGCGCGAGCTTTCTTGACTGAAAAATTGATCATCGAAATTTTGCAGATCGATGCACGACTTTGAACGAGTAGACGAGCAACAGTCTCAGAAATTCAAATTCAGACACGGTTTGAAAGCACAAGCGCAATTAGTCGCGAATCGTCTTCGCGTTCTGTTAATTTCATCGATTCGCGAGTCGAGAACAGCTAGCCGCAACTGTCGAAGTCGTTCGAGCCTCAAAGGGGCCACGAACACCGATCATTTCGCGCAAGCTTCGAGATCACAACGAACGTTAACATTCCTCGCTTCGTCGTTAATATCAATTCGGACGAAGCTTAAAAACAACATAAAATGGAGGACACTCCGCGGGAAATTCGAGATTACAACGAATATATAAATTTAGATACTGGTTGGAAATAGCTGATCGCGAGTATCTCGAATAGACTGTAAATGTTAACATTCGTTTCGTCGCGTTGATCTCGGCGATTCGCGAGGCTCAATGATCGTTCAGCCGATCGTGAACGTCGATTACTCCGCGCAAGCTCCTCCGAAATCACGGCTAGGCAACACACTCGTACTAGTAATTCGCGGATCCCAGACACAGCTTGAAAGGATAGTCGTTCGTCACGAGCAGGCACGTGAACGTGAACTGCTCTCCGGGCATACGTGGTGCAATCGTGTGGGAGATTCCCGCGGCAGCCTCGGGGCGGAATTGACCGCGAGCGTCGAACGAGCGGGAAAACGTTTTCTCTCTCGTGACCTCGGCCCGTTTGTCAAGAACCATTTACACGAACATTCGCCGCAGCGCCCATGTTTCATGCGATATGAATAATAATCTATCCGGTAACTACATCGAGAGCTCGCCGTGAGTGTCGAACAACCGAGCCAAAAACCGAGGGAAAGGAGTCGAACAAGCTCGTTGGCTCTGGCTCGTTTATCAGCGAACAGGGCAAAAGTTACGCAAATATGTGCTGACCAGGGCGGAAGAAAGTTTCGCGGAAACTTTCTCGTTCAACTCGAAAAAACACCCGTAGATAATCCGTCTTTTCTCGTTTGCTTTACTGTCGTTCTCATTTTTCTTTTTTTCTCTTTCTCTTTTTTTTTTTTTTTNTTTTTTGTTTTGTTCGTTGTTTCGGTGCTCGCCGAGAGAGTCATTCGCTCGGAGAGAGAGCGAGACAGAGAGAGAGAGAGTCAGGACGGATTCAGGGCAAAAGGTGCGAACGAATTGCGAGGCGCGGCTCGACGATATCCGCATTATCGGGTCAGTGGCTGATAGCGATGATAGCTGCATAATAGACGCGTCTCCCCGAGCTACGTAAATATCCCGATAATGGGAAAATAATGATCTCATATCGTGGGTATCTCGATATCGCGCTGATAGCTCGTTTCTCTCGCGTGTCACGCTCGAAAGTCTTAGGACACGTTTTATTTTTAATATCGTACGCTGTACTATGTTATAATATGGACCAATACATATTGTGGCACGTTAATATAAAGTATTAATAATATGATGCTTTTATATTTTATATTTTATATGGATTATAGTTATCATTATATATGGGTGAAGAAATTTTTGATCCATCACGAGCCAACGTAGCAACATTTCATTTCTAATTCTTTTTCGATCAATTTACGCATCATTATCGAATTTTTTCATCACATCTGAAAGTTAATTTGTTATTTTTTTTTTTTTTTTAGATTCTATGATTTTATAAATTTTTGCAAAAAATTGGAGTAGGTATTTATAAACAATTGCTTGGTCCTTAATGTACATTGTAATAGAAATATTATAAATTGGGTAATAAATAATACCAAAATACTCGATTTTTTTGTTGCACAAAATACTTCAGTTCAAAATAATGTTTAAAGTTTTAAAATATTATAAATATAGTTCGAAGACTTGTTCCAAGACTTTCGATATATCAACACTCATGGCAAACAATTTTCGATTTTCATATTCAGAAGTACCACAAAAAATGGTAAAGTTTTCCAAATGTTCACTTTCCTACATATTTCAAACAGACACAATAGTATTTCATCTCGAGGATTATAATTTCTTAGTTTCTATGAAAGAAAAAAGATTACTTTCCAATTACTTTCGAATACTTGTGTGCGTGTGTTTGATAGAAAATTTTCTGCCAAAGATAGAACTTTATAAATTCACGCGTCCGCGGGTGTGTTTCAACTAATTTGATACAAAAATTTCCATTTTAAATTTACCAATTGAAAGAAATGAAAGCAAGAAACTCGGTGGCTCAAACTTCTCGGTAAAAAAAAAAGTATTCGAGTAATCGTAATAATGAATTTTCGGCTACGTATCGGCGCCAGTTTCTTGCGCTTTTCAACAAACAAACATTCGATCAAACGTAATAATCCCGCAACACCCCGTTATCGGGCGCGCTGCGAGCAAACACCAGTAATACGGATATCAACGAGATTCGACCGAATTTGTTCAACCGGTGTTCTTTTATTTCATCACAGTAAACATTTACATCGTGGCGTTTCGTTTCTCTCTCTCCCTCCCTCTCGGTTCTTAGGTAAACGAACACCGAGGCGGAACTTGGGTAAAACGTTCAGTAAAACATCAGGGTAAACAGGCAATAATAACGCGGAAGAAGAAAAAAAGAGAGATGAGAAACATTCGACAAGTCTCACTCCGTCGTTCAATAGCCGGAGACGGAAGTTCGGCGGTTGAAATTTCGCGAATCGTCCGAATATCGAGACGATACCGTACACATTTTTCCGTAACTTTCGGAGCAACGTCGCGATATGAGATGCACTCTGACATCAAATAGACTCTTCTACTTTGAAATGCAATATGCACGACGATGGTACCTCTCTTGTTAACTCGAGTGGACACTCATTTCTCCTTTTCGTTTGTTCATGTTGTAATCTACCTGCACGCGTGCATGACAAACGAGGGAATTCTCATCTCGTTTGCGTTCTGTTACGAGACCAGGGGGATCTCCTGGATGTTTGATTAATCATCCGTCGAGAGACGTCGTTGGACAATCGAGAAATTTGTAATAAGTCGTTGATTGTTAATTAATTACGTTACGTTCTTCGAGATGATTCCGCGGAAATGATTTCTTCTCAGGATTCGAAATAGCAGAAATCAGATAAATTCAGACAAATTTGTTTGCGTCTATTGTTCGTTCATGGAGCCTCGTTTTGCCAGGAAACGGAGAATTTTGTTTTCTTTTCTTTTTTCTTATTCTTTTTTTTTTTTCCTTTTTTTAATTGAACGTGTCAAACCTAACGATTTCTCGAAGAAATGAACATCCAAACGATTTTAATCTTCTTGGCAACATGCTGTGCCACTACTATATGTATAGAGTATGTAATGTGAAACTATAGAAGATGTAATTAGAATATGGAACAAAGAAACGGCAGACAGACTCACTTGTTGTAGAGCACTATGTCAGGCCGCCATATGTGGTCGGATGGCACGTGTAACATGTGAACGCCACCGTACTCCTTCGGCTCCCATCGCAGTTTGTAGTCGTACCATGACTTGAAACAGCCAACACAAAAAATATAACCATATTATTGTTTCTCCTTTTTAACATCGTTGGATTTTGAATAAAACACGATTCGAGCAATGTTAAATATTTCTAAGAAATTGAATTAACATCGTACGAAGTTTGATCTTAAACTAGACATGTTTCGTAAAATATTAAATATTTTTAATTCCCTCTCCTTTTAGCATCCATCGGATTTTAAATTAAATTATGTTTTTCTAAATAAAACATAATTTGCATAATGTTAAATATTTCTAAGAATTTCAATTAATATCGCATCAGAGAAATCGTCTGATTTGAGATCAAACGTATTTCGTGCAATGTTGAACGTTTTTAAACTGTTTCACTTTTGTAGCATGTCAGATTTTAAATAAAACACGATTCGAACAATGTTAAATATTTCTAAGAAATTAAATTAACATCGCACGAAGAGAGAGATCGTTTGGTCTTAAATCAGGCGTATTTCCTATAGTATTAAATATTTCTAAGAGGCTGTTCCGCTTTTTCAGTATCATCAGATTTTAAATAAAATATAATTCAAGTAATTAATTAACATTGTTAAGATAAATCAGTGACCATAATTAACATTTCCAGTTTGCAATTATAAATGAGCAGCTTCTAAATTATTTGATGATAAATTTATATTTCACTGGTTTACGTCTTATTATTTATTTACGTGTATGTTGCTTATAATTTGCATTATCGTATACTATTTATAATTCTTATTATTGTTACACATTATTATAATTATATATCGTCGTCACTATTTATATATAAATTTATATGTAATTATTATTCGTAATTTATCACTTTATGTATATAAAATATATATCAAATTTATATATAATTATTATTCGTAATTTATCACCTTATATATTTATAATTTATTATTTCAAGCATAAGAAACCCGAAAATCTCGGATCAACAGTACATAAATTAATATAAACATAATTTGAAATTTAGTCATCAAAATGAATGAAATTTCCAAATTTAAGAGAAGCAGTTGATCCACGCGATCTATCCTAGCCGCGGTAATTCCTATTTTCCTCTGCCGTTGACAAAGAACGAGCATATTCGCGCGCGTGCGCTTGCTCGCATCTACCTAAGCCTCCGCCAGCAAGGACATGTAAAAGAAAGCATACGTGTCTCGTACACAAGAACATATCGAGGCAGAAAATTGTCCTGTGGAATTGGGCGGGATTTCACGGTGGCGCACGAAAAAGAGAAGCATCCGTAGCGCACGAAGAAGTACTCGCAGGTATAGAAGGAACTTATTGTTAGAAATGCTAGACATGGATCCAGCGAACCGTTACGGTAAAAATTGGAACGTATTTCTTGGTAACAAGAAGACAGGAGAAAGGCTCTGTCTTTAGATACCGTCTCGCTTCTTCTACGCTGTGCCTTCGCGACTCTCGCGCGACAAACGCGCGTGTTTCATGAAAATCGAACCACAGAGACCGGAACTCTGTTTTCCTTGCGTTGAACCTTAAATCTGTGCAATTCACGTGACAGGATACGTGTTGAGATGTTTACAGCTCGTGTTCAATATGAACATTTTGTATTCTATACGTTTGGTGGTTTTATACTGTGATTATGTGGTTTGTCAAATTAGGGATTTTTGGACATTTTTTTTTTTTTTTTTGCACTCCTCAAGTAGTGAAGTGTCAAATTAGGGATTTTTGGACATTTTTTTTTTTGCACTCCTCAAGTATACATTTAAGGTTTATATTTACACTCATATATAACGAAGCTACATTTAATTCTTAATTTGTTACGAAGTCAATTTTCACAACGTTAAAAAAAAATCACTTGTCACTTTAACTTAATTAAACTACTGAATGCACTTAATTTAATTAAATCAAATTCACTTGCCCATCAAAGCGTTCATATTAAATCCAATTGTACAAATTATGTTTGTTCGCCGACAAATTCGTATAAACAGAGTAAACGTGTTCTTGTTTCTAAAACACGAGAGATCGTTTCGCAAGAATACTGCTTTTGTATTGAGAAAAAGATTTTTCAATTAATTCACTGTTCCTGACTAAGAAGCTCGTATAATGATCCTTCTTTAAATATTTCAATCGAGGCAAGTTCCAAATGATTCGATATATAAATAAATAAATACACATGATCAATCGTGTAGAGCTCGACGATAAGAACGGATGTTCATCAAAAATTTAAGACGCGATGCGAAAAACTTAATTTGGCAATAAACGATCAATAGTCGTCAAGATGACGTTTTGCACGACTATTTGCGAGAAACGTGGCCACGTAATGGATTATCCAAACGAGACTCTTCACTTTCCAGGGCTGTAATTTAATATTTGGTGGGAAAACGACGGAGTCATATCGTTTACTCCCGTGCCCGGGATTCTCTCGCGAACGGAGAAAGTTGCCGGAAATTCGATTGCCCCGCGGCCATTAATTAGTGGCCAATTATCCCGCAGGGGTCCGCGGACGAAACTTCGCTGAGAATTTCTTCGCGGGAGATCCAATCAGAGATTCCCTTTGCGGTGTAACTACGTCTCGCGTAGAAGGCATTCATACGTTCTAGCCTTTTACAACTGCGTTTAAATTTTCTCTTCGTGGCGCCTCGACTTGTAAATTTTGCAAAACTTTCGCCGAACGACGACGGGCTCTCACTTTGAGATTCTAGCAACGTATGATGTAAAAAAATGCAAATTTTACTACTGTTACTTCGTCCTACGTAGCCTCATCTTTTCTAATTCAGCCAATTGCTGTTGTATCGTAGGTAATTCGAAATGTACAATACGCACGAATCTCTGTGGTCCAGAGATCTGAGATTTTTCTGAATGTTGTTACTTTTTTTAGATAGATTTATCGACTAGAAGTATTAATGATTTGATGAATATTTTAACAGTATTGCCTGTACGACATAAATTTTCAATCTACCGTAATTTAATTTTCTCGTCAGTTTTCTATTTATCTAGCTTGAATTAATTATCGCAAACAAATTATTTATACCGAACGTCCTGTATTCGTATTGTTTTCACATCGTCGAGTATCAAAAATCATAACTAGACGAAATCATTCTCTCTCTGTCGGTAAAATTCTCTTAATTAAATTGGTGAACAAGTTTCCCGGAACTAAAATTTTTATCGATCCCCGGAAACGCTTTGTTATAAAAGTAGGTTAATGAAATTAGTCGAGGGATGCCTGAGATCAGAGCTAAATCTATTCGTACACCCATGCAGATAAATGAGAACGTCATTTCTTACATCAGACGGTAAAAATTTAATTTTCATACATTCGTAATAGCATTATTCACGATCATTGTTATATTCATTGTTATGCGTAACTATACTACACGTTTGAAAGCCATTAATACCGTAGATTGCTGATATTTGTACAATTTTACATTCTTACGAGCGCATGTAACTTAAAAAATGGAAGTGCTTGTGTTTGAACGTGACGGACAAGTATTAAGTATCAAATATCAAAATCCTTGCTGCCATCAGTTACATTAAGTAGCTGTTGTGTATAAAAAATATATTATAGAATACGAAAATTATTTCAATCCTCCGAGTACTTAGATATATAATGAATGAGAAGCACATAATAAATTAAGAAATGCATTTGCAAATATTTGATATGTTAGTAACAAGGAGTTACTAATTGTTCTATTATTGATTATAAAATCATTTTGAGATTTTTTTGGGAATATTGCGTTAAATTTTTATTCAAAAAAATCGTATTTCATACGTAACTTAATATTTACAATGTCTTTTACTTATCACCGTTTTATGCTTGAAGATTTATCAACTTGTTAGTGGTCTAAATTACTAACAAGTTTAGATTAAAGTGAATTTTAAAATAAATTGAAAATAAAAAAAAACACTAGAAAAACATCTTATACATTCTAAATTTTTACATATATTTATGTAGATAGCCAACTTCTTAAGAATCAAGAAATAATTTATCACGATAGTATAACAAGCAGAGCGCGGAATAAGAATTTAAGTAAAAGTTTGTTGCATCTATCAGACACTTTGGATATTTCATATTTTTTCCCCGCACTATGCATTTTTGCACCCTTAGATTTCAAAATCTGCAGTTTAATCTAATTATACGTACGTCAATTCCTTTAAATTCTAGAAAATTGCAGAATGTAAGTAAAAGAAACAGCGATGAAAAAAAAAAGAACATTCGTTATTTGAACGTTAAAAAAGAAATTCAATAATAATGTAAATCGACTGAGATAAGAAAGAGCTGCGGTTTAATCGTTGCCTTAACGCAACACTGACCCGTAATGGATTAAATACTTGGACGAATTCTGATAATGATACGGCACTGCAACATTAAGGGACGTTAAGTCCCTGAATACCTTCGAATTAAAAATGAAAACAACGGTTGCAACGTATTGCGGAAGTAGTAGCGGCGTAGTTAATTGCTTGAACGTGCAAGAGGTTTTATCGATTTCACTTGCGAAAACAAGGACACTCCCGGTTTCTTTGACCTGGCTGCAGAACGTTGGCGCAAACACATAAATCCAAGTTACATTCCGCTGGCCTGATGACCAGAAAAATGGTGAAACCATTAGCTCAGCTCCACAACGGATCATAAACATCCGCATGGTTACACTCGTATTTATTTATTGCGCCTGTGTGTGTCATGAATTTTTATTGCTCCTTCTATATATACGCACGTGTTCTCCCGTGTTTCTCGTTACGAGTCAGTCATTCTCACAGCGGGTCGAAAAGAGCATTGGCTCTTTGTGAAAACAAAAATATTTTGCCCTACATGTGTGCTTTTACGCGCAGTCTGTACGTACTATATATTTTTTCACTTTCGAGTATAAATGTACAGAAATCTGCGATCTGTTCATCATTTACGGACGTAATGTTCAAAACCGGTAACTGCAATTTCCCTTGTGATTTAATTGCGAGAGAATTAATGTGAAAATAAATTTATTTCACACGCGACGTGACAAAGTGATTTATTAAAATAACTATGAATAAGAAAGCGATAACG